GCAGCTTTCATTATACTGCCCGAGTCACACTTACTGTTCTAGCACAGCCTTACTTTTAAAAGGAACGGCATGCCGTCTTGAATTACCTGCTGAATTCTTATTTTTCTTCTTTTGTCCTGTCCTCTCCCAGGGAATACAAAATTGTTTATCATTGGAACCCAAGGGGTATTTTACTCAATGCATATGCCTGTTTTTCCATCCAAAGGAAGGACGACATAAGAAGAAAACGTTTGGAATTTTGTCTTCCAAACATTCTTCCAAGAGCTTAATTTTCTTTTCACATGAATTTCAGAGCACAGGATTATTTTAAAACGGTCCCTTCCTCAGGTAAGAGTTTCACCTTAATCGTTTGGTGGTGTAGTCTGTACAGAGTTGCTCTGCTAACTCAAAGGCATACCTCTCCTCCCTTTTTGATTTTGTAGCCCAGGAAACTCAATAGAAAGTTATTCTAACACTGTAGCAATGGGATCAAGTGTGTCAGAGATTGTGAGGATGGCACAGGATAGGACAGGGCTCATATCTGTTCAGAGAGTTGTTACGTGTCAACACCACAAGGCTGAACTTACTTTATGCCAGGTGTTTAGTGTTCTTTGAGAATACTTATTTTCAGTTGGTTAAGTTTGAAAATAGAAAAGTGGAAGATTAACTTAGTAGTAGAGACATTACAAAAGCAGGCACACTTTATTTAAACATTCATCCAAGAGAAGCGAGACATGTTGTTTGGTGAAGTTTTTCCTGTACCCTAGCAATGCTCATACAGACAGAAAGAACTGTAGGTGAAAGGAGAAGTCTCATTGAAGTTGTTTAAAATCTGGTGCTGCCTTTGTATAATCTTACCCAGGACTCAAGGAAAGGTGTTGGAAATGTGAAGGTTCTCTTTTAAGAATTCTTAATAATTAAAAAAAAAAAAAAAGAATTCTTAATCATTGAGAAAGCAATAGACCTTATTGAGTATAATCTGAAATTTTGCTTAGGAAGACCATTCAGAGTGCCTTGAAATGTGAACTTATTTCCTGTGTGAAATACAAAAGAGAAGAAATTCTGGTCAATGCTTTGCAATCCTGTGTCCTTGTGTTGCATGAGATAGGACTAATCCAGAATAAGAGTAGAGAGATGATGTGAAACACAGATTAGTCAGGAATCTCTAAGAAATACTTGGCTTTAGAGACTTCCAAATAGGACTGGGGTTAATGTGAAGCAGGTGAAGTACAGGTTAGTTTTAGACAAAAAATGTAAGAGATGCCAATAACTCAGTAAAATCCTACCCTCACAGCCATCAGATCTGTTCTGCCTTGTAGAGACCCTTTTGGACAAAGTACAACGGCTCCAGAGGGTTTCAGAGGCCGGATGCCTTTGAAGGAACAGATGGCCACATCTTTCTCCCCCAGAGCAGCTGGTGGATTCCAATAGCTCAACTTTTGGAAGCAGCCCAATGACCAACCCACAGTGCCACCAGGGCTTCTTACTAACTCAGCGATCAAGATACGTAATATTTTAATGTCATATTTAAAAAGACTAGGATTGGCGAGCGCTTGTGGCCTAGTGGCAGGAAACTGCACTGCAATCCTAGAGGTGCGCGGTTCAAATCCACCAGATGCTCTGCTGAAGAAGGAGGAACAATCGCCTCC